GCAAATAATCTGAGAAGCTGGGTTCTATGAAGAAAAAAGTGGCATCAGGATTGGAGGAAAGCTCATTAATAACCTGTGATATGCAGATGATACAACCTTGCTTGCTGAAAGCAAAGAGGACTTAAAATATTTAATGATGAAGATCAAAGAGCACAGCCTTCGGTATGGGTTACATCTCAACTTAAAGAAAACAAAAATCCTCACCACTGGACCAATGAACAGCATTCTTATCAATGGAAAAAAGATTGAATTTGTCAAGGACTTCATTCTTTTTGTATCAGTTATCAACACTCATGGAAGCAGCAGTCAAGAAATCAAACAATGTATTACATTAAGCAAATCTGCTGCACAAGACCTTTTTAAAAGCGTTGAAGACCCAAGATGTCAGCTTGGGGACTCAGGTGTACCTGACCCAACCCATGGCATTTTAAATAAGCTCATATGCATGAGAAACTGGACAGTGAATAAGGAAGACTGTAGAAAAATTGATGCTTTTGAATTATGGTGTTGGAGGAGAATGCCGAAAGTGTCATGGGCTGCCAAAAGAACAAACATCTGTGTGAGAAGAGGTACAGCCAGAGTCCTCCTTACAGGCCAGGATGGCCAAACTTTCATTTCTAATACTTCAAATGTATTGTCAGGAGGGACCAGTCGCTGGAGAAGGACATCATGTTTGGGAAGGTGGAGGGTCAGAGAGAAAGAGGAAGACCCCAGGAGAGATGGATTGGCAAAGTGGCTACACCAATGGGCTCAGGAGTGGGAACAATTGTGAGGTTAGCCCAGTACCAGGTAGTGTTTCGTTCTGTTGTGCATAGGGTCGCTCTGAGTCAGTACCGACTTAATAGCACTTAACAACAACAAGAATGATTGAATTGGACTCTTGGTGTGGCACTGTAGGATCAATGCTGGACTGTGAACCGCAAAGCTGGCAGTTCAAACCCACCAGCTGCTCCTCAGAAACCCAATACAGGGCCTCTGTGAGTTGGAAACAACTCACCAGAACTTAACAACAACAGTGACATCGATTGAATTATGTCCTCCCCACTCGCTGCAGGTGTGTTATAAATCCTAATGCCTATACCTGTGGGACAAAGGAGCTCTGGTAGCGTAGTGGTTACGAATCGGGCTGCGAACCTTAAGGTCAGCGGTTCGAAACTACCAGCCGCTCCGCGGGAGAAAGATGAGGCTTTCTACTCCCGTAAGGATTTACACCCTCGGAAACCCTGTACAGGGTCGCTATGGGTCGGAACCGACTCGACGGCACTTAACAACAACAACAACAACATACTTGTGGGACAATGAGCCCTGGTGTTACTGTAGTGGGTTAAGTGTTGGGCTGCAAGATTGGTAGTTCACACTCTCCAGCTGTTCCTTGAGAAAAAGATGGACTCTCTGAGGGTGTTGGTACTCATAAAGGTTTATAGTTTCAGAAACTGTAGAGAGAAGTTCCACTCTGTTTATAGGGACCTTCTGATGTTTATAGGGACCTAGCATGTAGTGGGTTTGGTTTGGTTTTTATACCTGTGGATATAATCCCATTTGAGAGTAGGTTGTTGGTTTTTTTTGTATATTAATGAGACCATATCAATGTAGGGTATGACTTAAATCAATGACTTTTGAGACACAAAAGAGATGATTATTATTAGGCACAGAGGCAAGCAACCAGGAATGAAAGGAAGATATGTGCTTTGTGGAATGCTCAAAGGAGCACAAACAATGATAAAGAAGCTGAGACAAAACTTTTCTCACATTGTAGACAGGGAGACTTCCTCTAGAGCAGGTGTCCTGAATTTGCATTTCTAGAATCCCAAACTGTACAATAGGTTAAATGTTGGACTGCTAAGCCCACCAGTCACTTGTGGGAGAAAGATGAGATTTTTTTCTCCCATAATGATTTACAGCCTCAGAAATCCTAAGAAGCATTTCTACTCTGTTCTATAGAGTTGCTAAGAATCAAGTTGACATTGGATTTTGGATTGTTTAAACTTTGAGAACATACATTTCTGTTCATTATAGCTACCTATTTGAGGTATTTCTGTGTAGCAGCATTCAGAATCTAAGATTCCAATACCCCACTGTCATTGCATCAGTTCCAAAACATAGTGACCCTATATTGGGTTTCTGAGACTATAATTCTTTATAGAAGTAGAGAGGCTCATCTTTCTCCTGAATAGAGTTGAGTTGGGTTTGAACCACAGCCCATCACCTACCCCACAGCACCATCAAGATACTGCTATCCATTCAAACTTGTTAATTGGGTTCTGAAACCTTTGATATTTCATTCATTTTTTTGGTTGCTTCACCTTTCAGTTGTTGTGTATTGACAGTTCCCATTTTGGTGGTATATTTGTTGATTTCTTCTCATTTTAATGATGGTTGCTTTATGAATTTGAATTCTTACAGTATTTTAGTAGCTGTGTACTTAGAATTGAGATACTTTCATAATAAATGGAAACTTTTACCATTACATAGCAATTCTTTTTTTTTGCTATTTTAAACTTTTATGCCTATTTAACTAAAATAATAGACTATCTCCTTTAATTGGTGAGTTTAGTCCATATTAATTTACTGTACTTACTCATATACTTAGGGAATCCTGGTGTGGCTTGAGGATAAGTATTGGACCACAAGGTTGGATTGAACAACAAGGTCAAACTCACCAGTTCAAACTCACCAGTTGCTCCTTGTAAACCCTATACAGGGTTTCTGTGAGTTGGAACCGACTCGACGGTACTCAAAAACAACAAAAATTTATATAATTTGAATTGTTTTTACCATCTTATTTTATGGTTCTATTTGTCTTTTTTTCCCTATACCTCTCTCCCTTCCCCCAACATATTCCTTTAATAGTGCATTTTATAGGGGATAAAGGTACATTTAGAGTCCTGGTGTGGTGCTATCTGATAAACACAAGTTCAGCAATTCAAACTCACCAGCTGGTCCTTGGAACTACTATACAGGATTGCTATGAGTTGGAACTGACTTGGTGACGCTTATAGCAATACCAATAATAAGCAGATTTATCGAGTTTCCTTTAAATTTTCCTTATTCCATTTTTTCTTTCTGATTAAGAAGTTATCTTCTTTATTTTTGTTCTTTAGCAATTATTTCACTGCTAATTTCTGCCTTCACTACTGCTTCAGTACTTCAGTGATTTTTCTTTGGAGATGCTTCTCATTTTCAAGAGAATTTAGTGATCATATGGTGCTGTGGGCTAATGCGCTGGGCTTCAAAGTCAGTTTGAACCACAAAGTCAGCGGTTCAAGCTCACCAGTCACTCCTTGGAAAGCCTATACAGTGTTGCTATGAGTCGGAACCAACTTGACAGCACTTAACAATAAAAACAACAAAGGAGCTCTGGTAGCATAGGGCTATGAGTTGGGCTGCCAATCTCATGGTCATCGATTCGAACCTACCAGTGGTTCCACAGGAGATAGATGAGGCTTTCCATTTCTATAAAGATTTACAGCTTTGGAACCCTACACAGGGTCGCTATGAGTCGGAACCTACTCCATGGCACATAACCACCACCACCACCAATGGAGTCCTGGAGTCCTGGTGTGGCATGGTGGGTTAATGCACTACACTCACTTTGAACTTCAAGCTTGGTGGTTCAAGCTCACCAGCCACTCCTCAGAAACCCAGTACAGAGTCACTATGAGTTGGAACTGACTCAATGGCACTTAACGGCAACAAGTATACACTTCAATTAAATAAATCCATATTCCTAAAGAAATTTTTTTGTAGATTTGGTTACAGACTCTGCAAGATTTTTCTTTCTTTTTTTTCCATCAATGTCTTCCAATTAGTTTCTGTTGAAATTCCAAAAATGTTTTTAAGATCTCTCACACAAATCCTACTCACTCGAGGTAGTGTGTACTTTTGTAAGGTATTTTCACTCTGCTCTGTGTTATAATTGCTCTCTTTTCAAGACTGCTCTGAGTTGCCCTTTGAAGTAATGCTGGTACTGTCTCTTTTCCAGTAAGGGTACTACCTTATAATATATTCCATTAGAGCAGAATGTTAGTGAAGGCTAGCTAGTTCATGTATGGCTCTTATAGCTACTGATAGGAAATGTCACTATTAAACAACCCAGAAGATTCTTGCTATTATTGAGTCCACTGCACTACAGTTTTCAAAGATCTCTTTTATTCTTGGGATACATACATACCTGATTGTCAAGTTTAACTTATGAGCCTTGTTACTCTCTGAGTGTTTAATTGAGTTAGTGGTTATAGCCAACTCTTAAACCCATAAAATCCTTCAGTGGTAAACTAATTAGCAACTGCACCTGCCCTCCAAATAATTAACATTGCTCATTACTAACAATCAACATTGGAGTTATTAAAAGTTACCTTACCACTCAGTTGTTTAAAACAGACTTCAAACTTTTTAGATCATATCCAGAACTGCCGTGTTTTTAACATGTCAACCAGTACATGTGCACACACACACACTCTCTCTTTGGAAATAATGTTTCATGAATCAATATTTCCTAGGACTATGTAATTTGGAGCAGTCCTGGTAGATTAATGGATTATGAGCTGGGCTGCTAACCACAATATCAGAAGTTTGAATCTACCAGTAGCTCTGTGGGAGGAAGGAAAGACTTTCTGGTACCATAAAAATTTACAGCCTCATAAACCCTATACAGGGTTGTTATGAATCAGAACAGCTCAGTGTCAGACAACCACTACCACCACCACTATGTACTATGTAGGGATTCCTGGTACTATGTAGGGATTCCTGGTGTGGATAAGCAATGGGCAGTTAGAAGTTCAAGCCCACCAGCCCTTCCTCGGAAAACCTATACAGAGTTGCTATGAGCCGGAACCAACTCCAGAGCTCTTAGCAACACCAGAATGCCAATATAACTCTATGACACACAACAACAATGGATTGGATCTCTTCGAAAAACTCTGGTTTAAGAAAACCCTTACACTGAAATACAAAGTTATGAAGAATAAAAAAAGTTTGTTTTTTATCAGCTTAGAACTTACTTGTTTCCTTCACCATTATACACTCACTTAGTAGTGCCAATTCCTTCATAGTTTGAAGCCCAGTAATAAATACAGGAATTAATGTGCAGAGTAAACAGCAAGTAGCCAGTTGTTAGAACGACTCTGTCAAAGATAATAAACAGAAAGTAAGGACTCAGTTTATTCCTGGAATGCAGCCTATTTTAACATTTCTTTTCCTTAAAGTCTTCATTGAATCCCTTTACTTCAGAGCTGAGAACTGCTAGCTCTCATTAGTACTGTATAAAGTGATGATGTCACTGCATGTTTTCTGCCTGCAGTGTCTTGACTGGGACTGACGGAGTGTAAAAAAAGAAAAATCTTTTTCTCTTTTTACAGATGGTATGAGCCAACTCCGTGAAAAACATGGCCTCCAGGGTCATTTCTTCAGTTCAAGTCCCATAAAATATGCCACACTGAATTAAATGGGTATCTCTGAAAAGCTCACAGGGATTTATGCTACGATGTATAGAGGTCTTTGTGCAAGTGAAGTTCAGAACAGCAAATGAATGAGCTTTAGATTAGAGATGAATTGTGTCTAGAGAGATGTGAAGTCAGCTTGCGAAAGGACATGTTTCTCTACTTGTTCTAACGGGAGCAGGTAATAAGTCCTACTATAATTTTTGTCTTAGTTCTGTATCATCTAAATCTAAGATGATTTTTATAGTTTAGCTCACTTTAAAAGTACCCATACCTACAACTATTGGTTTCTACTTGTTTGAAGCAAAACAGAAAGAAGGAAAACAAGGACTCAAAGATGAAACTAGTTTACTGGACAAATCATTTACATGAACTACAATCTCATCTACTCTGATACCAGAAGATGGTACCTGGCTATCACTATTACTGTCTTAATCAGGGTTATTATAAATGGGCTTTGATGGAGTGTGAGAAAAAATATGGAAGAGAACATCAAATTAAAAAAATAAAACCAAAAAGCTTCACCCCAAAGCAAAGCAAAGCAAAGCAATAACAACAATTGTGCAAAACAAAACAAAAAACACTTATTGGACTGGTTAAGACTGGAGGACTCTCTGAGACTATTGTGCTGAGATATTCTTCAAGTTTTGAAACAAAATTAACCCCTGAGGTCACCTTTTAGCTAAATAACAGATTGACTCATGAAATAATGGTATCACCTATAAGTGCTGTGTTTCTTTAAAAATAGAGCAAGTATCATTTAAATGAGACCAAATGGTTAATTACTTTAAACAAAGATGAGACGGTAAAGGAGCAGGGAAACTAGACTAATGAAATGGAACAACCGGAATGGAAACAATGAGAATGTCCACACATTGTGAAGAATGTAACCAATGTCACTGAATAACTTGGGTAGAGATTGTTGAATGGGAACCAAAACTCCTTTGGAAATCTTCACCAAATCACTATAAAATAATATATTTTTAAAGAGTATTCAAATCAGTCTTAGAACATAACCCTGAGTCTTATATAGCCAAAAATCCTGAAAGTATCCAATTTTACATTCCTCCCAAATGCTGTCTTCTTTCTCTCTCACCCCCAACACCATTATAAGAAATTGTACTTTACCTGTAGATATATGCTTTATCCAATATAGATTCTGGGTGGTGATTAAACTAAAAAAATGAGGTATACCATGCAGAAAACAATCAAAAGAAATACAAAAGTATATTAGTCTTATTTATAAAATATAGGTTTTATTTGCTACTGACAATAATTTTATTCATCTCTCTCTCTTTTTTTAAGTCTACGACCTGATTATAGCTATCTTACTCGTGGACATTCATTTTAGCATACTGTTGCTATGAATCAGAACTGATTTGACATTAGTGGGATTTGGGGGTGGGGGTGCTGGCAAATATCTAGAACTTTTTGCTTTATTTTATTTCTAGATACTACCTACAGTCTTGCTTGTAATACTGACTGAAAATAGATATGAAAATATTTCTTTTTTAAAACTGCATATTATTGTTGTTGTTAAGTGCCGTTGAGTCAGTTTTGACTCACAGTGACTCTGTATAGAGTATCTGAGGAGCAGTTGGTAGGTTTGAACCGCTGATTTTGTGGTTAACAGTCCAGTGTTCATCCAACAATGCCACACCAAGATCTCTTTTTATGCATACAGTAGAACTTTATTTTGCAGTAATTAAAGTGAATTAAAATAAGACAGGAAATGTATAATCTACACTGAAACCATAAATCGGTCTCAAGAGTTGTTGCTGTTACATTAGCATTATTTTTAAAAATTGCATTAAATGTACATTTATTTCAACACAAGTTAAAGTCCAGTGAGTACTAGTATTGGTTTGCTATTTTTAACATTGTTCAAAGATGCAATAACTCTATATGCATCTAATCTAAACAGAATTGCTGTTTTTCTCAAGATCTTTTTCTGTTTACATCTACTACTATCTCTCCTCTTTACTATTCTGCTATCTGCCACTCCTTCTTTCATTGCATGAGCAGTGTCATTTAGAGGTGAGAGCTTGAAAATAAGCAAATGGCAATCCCACCTCTGCCATTTAGTAACTGTGTGACCTTGGAAAATGTCTTCCTATATCTTGGTTTTCTCATCTGTAAAATAGGGACGATATGAGAACTATGTATTAAAAGTAGAATAAAAGAAGATGAAAGAAATCTTAGCAATTGCTTAGTTCAAAATTTCATACAGTATGGATACGATTGCAACAGAATATTTGGAATGAAAACATAAATGTTATAATTACTTAATTAAGAATACAATCTGATGATTTTTTTTCTTTTTTACAATTTCTGAATAGGAACAATTTCTCAAATATTCAAATTAAAATAATTTCAATTTGTTTATTGTGCTCTTTAATGGCAATTTACATGAAGAGATGTTTGTAAAATTAGCTTAAATTTTCACTATAGAGAAGCTGAGTCCTAGTGTGGCAATGCAGGATAAGCACTGGATTACTAATCACAAAGTTGGTGGTTCAAACCCACCAGCTGTTCCTTGAAAACTCTATGCATCAGAACTGACTTCATGGCACTTAAAAACAGCAAAATAGACGAACTTATCATATCACTTTCTAAAAAAAGTTTGTTGTAAAGTATTTGCCACTTAAAACATTTCATTTCCACCAGTTTTACATGCTTAATTCAATATTATTAATTACGATTTCTATGTTATACAACCACCACCACTATCCATGTCCAAATGTTTTCATCATCTGTGACAGAAACTCAGTGTCCTCAATTTATCATTGTAACTTAGAGACAAATAAGTAATAAATATTGTCCCTAGAAAAATGTATATTAAAATGATAGCCCTATAGTAAAACATGTGACCTCGGGGCTATGAATTCTGGTGTGGTGCTGTGGGTTAATGCCTGGACTGCAATGTTGATTTGAACCACAAGGTCGGTGGTTCAAGCTCACCAGCCGCTCCTTGGAAACCTTATACAGGGTTGTTATGAGTTAGAAGTAACTTGACAGTACTTAACAACAACAATAATCCAGGGCTATGAAAAAAAGATCAATGTATATTTAAGAAAAGTATAGGCTATGTGGTTTTGTTGTTGTTGTTGTTAAGTGCCACTTTGTCAGTTCTGACTCATAGCAAGCCTGTGCAGGGTTTCCAAGGAGCAGTTGGTGAGCTTGAACCGCAGACCTTTTGGTTCAAATGACTTTGCAATCCAGTGCATGCACACACAGTGCCACACCATAAAATAACCCAGTTGCCAATTCATAGTTAATGCATAATTCCAACTCATATGGTTACTCCATATGTATGGAGTAACATATGGTTACTCCATATATGTCAGAATAGAACTGTGCTCCGTTGGGATTTCAATGGTTGACTTTTCAGCATCACTAGCCCTTTCTCCCAAGACATCTTTTGTTGTTGTTGTTGTTTTGTGCCGTGGAGTCGGTTCCAACCCTGTACAGTGTTTCCGAGGGTGTAAATCTTTCTGGGAGCAGAAAACCTCATCTTTCTCCCACAGAACCGCTAATAGTTTCGAACTGCTTACCTTGTGGTTAGCAGCCCAATTCGTAACCATTAAATTAAAACCTCTCATCTTTTGGTTAGCAGCCAAGTTCATCTTTTTCGGTTTTCTAACTCCAGATCTTTGCACATTTCATTATAATATTTTACGTTTTCTCAAGCTACCCTTTGAAACCTTCTGCTTAGCACTTTTGCTCCATTATTGCTTCTGTTTGTTTTAGCTATTCTATGTTCAATAGTAAGTTTCAGAGTCTCTTCTGACATCCATTTTGGCTGTCTTTTTCTGTTCTTCTTTTTAATGAACTCTTGCTTTCTTCATGTTTGTTGTCTTTGATGTCATCCCACAACTCGTTTAGTTTTCAGTAATTGGTGTTCAATGTATTAAACCTATTCTTAAAAAGCCCTCTAAATTCTGGTGGAATACACTAAAGGTCGGAGTCCTGGTGTGGTGCTGTAGGTTAATGCGCCAGACTGCAAAGCCATTGGAACTGCAACTCAGTGGTTCTGTTTCACCTGCTGCTCCTCGGAAACCCTATACAGGGTTGCTGTGGGTTGGAACCGACTTCCTGACACTTTAAAACAACAACAACATACTAAAGGTCATATTTTTTACTTTTGTAGGCTTGTTTTAATTCTATTTAGCTTTAACTTGAACTTGCACATGAACAATTAATTGTGTGTCCTGCAGTGGACCAGTTCCTCCGTTTCTTTCCACAGATATGGTTGTTTAACTCATGTGTAGCCCATCTGAGAAAGTTAATGTGTATAATCACCATTCATGTTGTTGAAAAAAAAAAAGGCCTTTTCAATGAATCGATAATGAATGGTTTTAACAAAATTCTATCATGTGAAATCTGGTGTCTTTCTATCACCAAGGCTGTGCTTTCTAACTACTGATCCTTTTTTGTTTTCAATTTTTGTATTCTCATCAACAGTGATTATAATTGCTTCTTGATTGCATGTTGCATCAATTTAAACCTGTGGAAGTTTGTAGAAATCTTGAATTTCTTCCTCTCTGGCATTAGTGGTTGGTGTGTAAATTTGAATAATAGTCATACTACCTGGTCTTCCGAGTAGGTGTATGGATGTTATTCTATTATTGACAATATTGTACTTTAGCATAGATTTTGAAATGTTCTTTTTGACAATGAATGTGATGTCATTCTTCTTTAATTTGTCATTCCCGGTATAGTAGACCATACAGTTTTCCTGTTCAAAATGACTAATATCAGTCCCTTGCTTCTCACTAATGCCTAGGAAATCTCTCTAACATCGTATTTCATTTTTGACAACTTACAATTTTCCTAGATTCATACTTAGTATGTTCTACTTTCCAATTATTAATGGATGTTTGCATCTGTTTCTCCTAATTTTGAGTCATATCTCAGCAGCAAATGAAGACTTCAAAGCTTTATCCCATCCATGTCATTAAGGCTGACTCTGTTTTGAGAAGCCAGCTCTTCACTAACGGTATTTTGAGTTGTCCTACGTAGAAGGAGCTCTGGTAGCGTAGTGGTTATGAATTGGGTTGTGAAGTGCAAGTTCAGCAGTTTGAAACTACCAGCTGCTCCATGGGAGAAAGATGAGGCTTTCTGCTCCTGTAAAGATTTACAGCCTCAGAAACCCTGTTCAGGGTCGCTATGGGTCGGAAACAACTCAGCGGCACTTAACAACAACAACCTACATGAGAGCCTTATCTTCTGGTATTATATCAGAAAATGTTCTGCTATTTATAAAGTATTCATTGTCAAATTTTTGAAAAAAAAAGTTTTTCATGTCATTCTTCCTAGTTTGTCTTTGTTTAGAAGCTCTGCTGAAACCTGTCCACCATAAGTGACCCTATTGGTATTTGAAATACCAGTGGCATAGCGTCTAGCATCACGTTACACATGTCAACACAGTATGACAAACTGAACAGATATGTGGGATATAGAAATAGGAGTATGAATACTTGGCATTTTACAAACTCTTTTTATAATGTCAGGCAAACTCCCAAATTTATAGGAACCTGGATCTTTCTCAAAAAAGTTCGTTATTGCAAAAAAGTTCATGGACCTCCTGAAAACTTCCATGCAATGCTAGAGATTTGATGAGAGATGGCATAACCATTAAACTGCTTGGAATGTTATGATCTGCCTCAATCTAGACTCACATTTCATATTCAAACCAGAAATCTAAAGAGTTGTTTGGATGGCTGGACATATGACTAAGGTCCCTTTTGATTTTGAAAAATCATAGGCAAGAAAAGCCCTTTCAGTTTGCCTTTTACCTGCCAAATTGATGACAGTAAAGAATTGGGATCAGATAAATATGTGACCTGCTCTATTTCCTAATATATAAAATGAAGCGAAAGCTGGACAGTGAATAAAGAGGATCGTAGAAGAATTGATGCCTTTGAGTTGTGGTGTTGGAGGAGAATACTGAGGGTGCCATGGACTGCCAAAAGAACCAATAGATCTGTTTTGGAAGAAGTGCAGCCAGAGTGCTCCTTGGAGGCCAGGATGGCTAAGCTTCGTCTCTCCTACTTTGGACATGTAGTCCGGAGGAAACAATCGTTGGAGAAGGATGTCATGCTGGGTAGGGTGGAGGGTCAGAGAAAAAGAGGAAGACCTCCAACGAGATGGATCGGCCAGGTGGCATCATTGATGGACTCGGGGGTGGCAGCGGTGGTGAGGTTGGCCCAGGATCGAACATTGTTTCGTTCTGCTGTGCATGGAGTCGCTATGAGTCGGTTCCGACTCGATGGCACCTGACAACAACAACAAAATGAAGATAACATCATGATAAATGGAGAAAAGATTGAAGTTGTCAAAGACTTCATTTTGCTTGGATCAGCCATCAACATGCATGGAAGCAGCACTTAAGAAATCAATCGATGTCATGGCATTTTCAATAGCGTCATATGTGAAAGTTAGCCAATGAATAAGGAAGACCATAGAATAATTGATGCATTTGAATTATGGTGTTGGAGAAAAATATTAAGAGTACTGTGGAATTTCAGGAGAATCAATAAATCTTTGTTGGTAGAAGTACAACCAGAATGTTCCTTAGAAGCTGGTATAGTGAGACTCTGTTTTTCACACTTGGGACATGTTATCAGGAGGGACCAGTCCCCAGATGATAAATTATTTTTTGATACAAAAGTGTTTGCATTTTTCAGAGCTGTCGAATTTCAGATAAATAATCTAGAGGCCATTTAATCTAGCTTCCTCATTTTATAGCTAATATTCCAGTCATTTAATAATTGTGTGATACTAAGGAAAAAAATGGAAAATAGTCAAAATTATAAAAGATTAATTTCATATTAAAATTTTTTCAGAGGTACAAAATCAATTCTGTCTTTGATAAAAATACCAGTCATGAGATATAGTACTTACAAAACTAATGCCAATTGCCTATCAGTAGAAGTAATGATATTTTTTCTTCATTTTTTTACAATTCACATTAATGATGAGAGCAGAGAATTTGGAAAAATTATGAATATTGATAACTTTAAATCACTATAAGCTTTCCATTATAATAAGAAAAAAACCAGTTAAATATAATTATCTTACCCTTAATATCCTATTTGCTCTAAATATTGGATTAAACCCAAAGAAGAGGTAGGAAACATCAAATGATATTATTGATATGAGATCTAACTGTTAGAAAAGCACATTTTACAATTATGGTGTTTTTATGAACCTGTATGAATTTATAGTGATGTATGCAAAAGTCCTGGTATGGCACTATAGGATAAACTGGATTATTAATTGCAAGATTGGCAGTTCAAACTCACCAGCTGCTCCTCAGAAACCCTATACAGAGTTGCTATGAATCAGAATTGACTCGAGGGCACTTAACAACATGTAAAAGTTGACCTGCCACTATGAATTCCTTGTTGTGTAATCCAAGATTGTTTTTAGTTAAACATCCATGGTGTCTCTGAAAGGCATAATGGTGCTGTTGCTCTTAGATGCCCTTGAGTTCATTTGGACTCATAGGGTTTCCAAGGGTGTACATCTTTATGGGAGCAGACAACCTTATCTTTCTCCCAAGAAGTAGATTGTTGTTGTTCTTGTGTAGTGCCATTGAGTCGGTTCCCATCCATAGTGACTCTAATTGCCAAACTTGTGGTTAGCAGTCCAGTGCTTATCCTACTGAGCCACTGAACTCCTGAAAGGCATGTTATTGTTGTTGTTAGTGACATTGAGTCTGTCTGTCTCATAGGGTTTTCCAGAAGTATATTGTGGGTTTGAACTACCAAACTTGTGATTAGCAGTCCAGTGTTTATCCTACAGAGGCACACCAGGACTGACATTATTGTTGTTGTTAAGTGCCATCGAGTCAGTTTCAACTCATAGTGGCCCTGTGTAGGGTTTCCAAGGAGTAGCTGGTGGGTTTGAACTTCTGACCTTGTGGTTCACAGTCTGCTGATCCTACAGTGCCACCCCACAATAAACAAGAACACTATTGTAGTCTCAGTGTGAGTAAAACCCTTGATGAAATGGGTTGCACAATAGCATCAATAGTGGCCTCAAACAGGAAAGATGATGGAGACAGCCCAGGATGCAACAATATTTAGTTCTGTAATACACAAGCTTGCATGCACAGGGATATATGACAACTAAGAACAACACATATTGTAGCCTATTTCCAATGTATTACATAGAACCCCCATGAATCCAATCTCTCCTTAGGCACTGTGTTCACTGGATTTTTTGTGTGGAATTGTCACATAAATTTCAGTGACAGCATAGCTGCTAATGTTAAAATGTATCTTAATACTGAGTCTCTTGGACTGAAAATCCAGTCCATCTTGATTTTTATCTGAAACCATTTCACATTAACTGCAGTGGTATATTTTTATGTTTCAGACAATTTTCCCACTGCTCAGGGATGATTATATTGTTGGTAGCTCATCTACAGTCCTTAATTCTCCCTACTGATAATTACTTCTGTATCATTTTGCTCCCAGTAAACTGCTGTGAAAGTATTTATCAGACACTGTGAAAGCTAAAAGAAAGGAAAGTAATGAAAACAGTTCCTTTTATAATTAATTAACAGTTCTGTTGTGAGCAGGTATTAAAAGTGTTGTTGTTGTTGTTATGTGCCGTGGAGTCGGATCCGACTCATAGCGACCCTGTACAGGGTTTCAGAGGCTGTAAATCTTTATGGCAGCAGAAAACCTCATCTTTCCCTTGTGGAACAGCTGGTAATTTCGAACTGCTAAGCATGTGTGGTTTGCAGCCCGAATTGTAACCACTGCGCTACCAGAGCTCCTAACCAGATTAGTAATTACAAACAAATTACTTGTTAATAGTTTTCATTTAGAAATTAAAAAAAAAAACAAAAAACCTTTTTATTGTGAATTGGGTTAAGGTGTACAGACAAGATCATCAGTTTTACAGTCAACATTTCATACATTTTGTTGCATCTCAATGATTACGGTCCCCTCCATGTGACAACAATCATCCCACTTCCTCCCTGTGATTCCCATTTCCATGTTGCCAAGCTTCCCATCCCTTCTCAACTCTGTCCTTAAGTAAATGCTTCCCTTTTGATTCTGATAGTTCAGAAACTGTAGCATATAATAAAGTTGCATTGATTTTACCTTAAAGATATTGATCCTTAAAGAAGTTAAGAGGTGTACAGAGGAGTTATTACAAATAAGACAGTAGGAGCACACAACTGTTGATTTGTCTAGTGCTAAGCCAGAATCCTGGTATGGTGCTGTAGGATAAGCACCGGACTGCTAACAGGAAGTTGGCAGTTCAAACCCACCAGCTGCTCCTCGGAAACCCTATGGAGGGTCACTATGCATCAGAATAAACTTGATAGCACTTAACAACAACAAACCAGAATCCACCTTTAGTGACTCAGATTGTAATACTGTTTTTACTTCTCTCCATCCAATTACTCAACCCTCCACTTGACTTCTCAATGCAGGTCAACTTCAGTCATGTTTGAAATGAATACATGGTCATATAACTAGATATGGTTTATTTCTCACTGAATTATAGAGAATGGACTTGATTAAATATTGGCCAACACTATACAAGGCACTTAACTAAGGATATTGGTGTTGGAATGGGAGTAAAGTACTTTTTCTATCCACAAGAAGTTTACACTCTAATACTGAGATAATGAAATACAAAAACAGCTTTTATTAGCCCTTAATCAAATTTAAGAATGGAATTAAGATTTTGGAATAAGCCTTGTGGCATTTACAAAGAATATTCATCCTATTTATGTTGTTGTTGTTAAGCGCTGTCCAGTCAGTTGCAACCCATAATGACCCTATGTAGGGTTTCTAAGGAGTGGCTTGCAGTTTAAACTGACCTTGCGGTCCAGCGCATTATCCTGCCACACCAGAACTTCTTCCTACTTGTAAAGTTCAAGTAGTGCTGATTTTTTTATGAATATTATTAGCTGTTGATAGTAGGTGTCATCCAGTCAGTTCTGACTCATAGTGACCCTATGCCCAACAGAATAAAACACTGTCTGGCCCTGCACCATCCTTACAACTGTTGTTAAGTCTGAGCCCATTGTTTGCAGCCATTGGGTCATTTTATCTCATTGAGGGGCTTTCTCTTTTTTACTGACCTTCTATTATATCAAGTATGATGTCTTTCTCCATCATGGCTTTTACGGAGCTGTACTTTTCTTCAGACATGGTACTCTCAATATTCTGTGCAAATGCCTTAATTCAAATACTTCAGTACTAATCTGGTCTTTCTTCTTCATTGGCAAGCATTCAAACGCACACGGAGGAGATTGAAAATACCATGGCTTCGATCAGGCACACCTTAATCCTCAAAATGCATATTAAGTATTCAAAGTGGCAAAGGTTTACAAATAAATTAGAGATCAAACAGAGAAAATACTTATCAAAATTTAATAATTGGTGGCTGCCAATCAGAACAGTTTGGGATCTAAATCCAAATTTATATATTTTAAAGCAAAATTTGAGGCATGAAGTTGTCCATTAAATGGGAGGCTGACCTTCACAAATACAGATTAGGTAACACTGGGTGACCCTGACCTCTGTTTATTTCAGAGTTACATTGCCTAAATAAAAGATTAAAAAGTACTTTGTAAGTAATTATATAAGTAAAAATAAAATACTGTATTTTTATGTGAGGAAAGAAAGATACCATGTTATCTGAATAATTCCTTTTCCTTATTTTTTATTTAGTTTATATGGACACAAAATCAACCAGAAAAGAAACAATTTTACAA